ACGTCCAGGGTGCAGTCCAGATTCTTGATACCTCTGAAACGAATCTGGCGCCCATGAGAATCTATGTTTTTCTGAATATTTCTGATGGGTGTATTGGGCTACCCCCCTCCCCCATTTCACCTTTCTCCAGGGACCAACATCGCATTAATGGGAAGGGGCCCGAACTCACCGGCGCCCCTGTTAGGCCCCCGGAAAAGCAACAGCGCGCCAAGACGAGCACAGACAACCCCAAGAGGCGTCCACGACAGGGAAACAATTCGGAGACGACCCAAGGGCGCTCCGAGAAGCCCGAGATGGCCTCCACCGACTCAAGACACTCCTAAAGCGGCACACGAGCGCTCGAAGAAACCCCTCATCATGGATTTTCGCTTGGGCGTTGACCGACTTTATTTTTCTGGCGTCTACGATTTCCGACGCTACAGTGCGACCTAACAGCGCCTCGCTACCTTTGACACGGCCCAAAAGGGCCTCCAAGAGAACCCCCAGATAACCCAACACAGACCCCCGACAGCCCCAAAAGCTCCCCAATACAGCCCAGGACAACACCAAGAGCGCTTCGATAGGGAAAATACAAGACGACACTACGAACAACCCGCCGCAACGCAACCCCCTAGATCGCCCGCAGGCCCCAAAAGAGGCCGCCAGGACACTCCACGAGGCCCAGAGAGATCCCCCGGACAGCTCCAGGGGGCCCCATGACGGCCGCGAGAGCCCCCCTTGCCACCCGCAACGCCACCCAGGGGGCGCGAGACCGCATCTCGAGCCCCCAGCCCCGGGCAGCCCCACGGGCACTGCAAGAGAACTGGCACGGAGCCCCCCGAGAGGCCTCCAAAAGCTCCCCCCCCTTGCAACGAGGACCCTGGCGATCGACAGACCCGTCCCGTTGTCCCCGTGGTCGTCCTCCGCGTCGATCTCGTGCGTCTTACTCTGGTCGTCGTCGTCGCCGCCGCCGCCGTCGTCACTGTAGTCGTCGCCCAGATCGCCCTCCTCCCTGGGAGAAGCAGGCCGCATCGGCGCACCGCCCCCCCCCCGCCGAACCCTCCCCCCCGGAGGGCAGGAAGAGCCGTGCTGCATCGTCAGCAAGGGCGCCCTGCCTGTTTCTGCCAGTCGCTCCGATTTTCGCCGCTGGCCCTCTTGACCTCTACTCACCTGCTCAAGTGCGCAAGGTGTGACCGCGCGGCAACCGCAGCCTCTGCAACACCGAGCGCTGTACTGCTGTCCATGACCGCGACGTTGTCCGGCCATCTCTGAAGGCACGATGACGACACGTCAACGCCCGACGCGCCGCGCACGCCTGCTCTCTCCCTCCCGTGCTGTGCCCGACCCCTGCGCCGCGTAGCAGATGCGCGGCAACCACACCTCACACAGACCCTGACACTGGACCGCTTCACATGACCGCACACCTGGCTCGTATGGCGCTCTCAAGCCCGTTCCTTTCTTCAATGGCTCCGTCTAGCTTTCGGCCTCCGGGGCCTCTTCAGGACAGCTCTTGACTGAAATGGCTAAGGCATGAAGTCCGCACATGTACATGTGACACACTACTGCCTGCAATGCTGTGCGATAGGCAAGTAGCTACACATGCAAATGACTATCACAATCGCCATGCATGTGCCCCACCATCTCTGACGTCGCGACGCGCCCAACATGTCACTTTTCCCACCTGGGCATGGCCAGCGAAGTGAGCACCGCGCGCGGCGAACAAGCGGGTCAGACCGACACTCCTTGCACGTACACGGGTACTGGAACGCCTCCCAAGATCCTCACCCTGAAACTTTTTTTCTACGCAGCCATTGCTCACCACCAAATCTTTCCTGGCACAAATGGTTATTGTGTTGGGTCTGGATAATGTGTTCCACACTGCACGTCACCTTTACCAGCAAGATGTATGTACGACATTCTAGTCCATGAGTCACTCATACTTCGCCCTAGAACCTAGAGCATCCCATTGTCTGCGGGTCGGCGGAATGGCGTCAACCTCTTGCATGGGAGATCTTCGTGGAGCACCTGCTGCACGGCTGGTCTCGTATCTGGCACTCCTGCTCTGGAGAAGACCCCACTAGAGGCCAGGAGGGCTTCTGACACGGCCCCCGACCGCCCATGATGAGCAATAGAAATGCCCCTAATCCTTCGGTGGCAGGGGACCTAAGTTTGGAAGGCCAAACATATTAGGGATGGGGGGGGGGGGGGGGGGGAATTTTTCAGATGCCGCAGACGAAGCCACTCCTACGTCTAGGGATATTCCCAAAGGGCATAAGTTAGGCTTCGGATTCATTGTGCGACTAGGGCACAAGATTGTAATCTGCTTCATGGCACTAGAAGCCGGGAGGGCTTCTGACACGGCCTCCGCCCTCTTCGAAGCATCTCCCCCGCCTTTTCTGAACGCCGCCCCCTGGCGCGCAGCCCCCCTGTCCGCGCCGCCAGGCTTGTACAGGTGCGCACGGCAGTCCTCCGACGCGGTCAGCACGCTCTCGCCGTCCGGCGAGCACCGCACGCAGAGCACAGCCCCGCCCGCGGTGTCACCGGGCGGCGCCCGAAAGGTGCCCTCGCAGTGGAGGGTCGCCGCGTCCCAGATCTTGGCGGAGCCGTCGTCGGAGGCGGTGAGCACTTTGTAGCCACAGGGGGAAAATCGGGGGTTGCCACAGGTGCTCCTGGCCGAACCCAGAGGTTAACACCAAGCGTTTGCGCCCAATTTCGGGCCCCGGGGCCCTCACAGATCGATCCGGGTCGAAGAATAGTGCAGAAAGATACCGTAGATGGCTCCACTCGTGCTGTTTCGCGATTTTGAATCTTCTGCGCAACGTCGGGTCTGAGGAAGTGTCTCCCAAGATGTTCGCCCCATTTGAGAGTTCCTGGGTCCCTCCAGGCTTCGTGGGCCAGGGCCAGGGACACCTTTGGCAACCCCCGAGCGAAGACCGCCGAATTCACAACATTATTGTGCCCTTGGAACACGCCTTGGCATCTTCCAGTAATCAGATTGTACAGTCGTGCAGTGCCTTCGTCTGAGGCTGTCAGCGCCTGGTCGTGGTAGAACGTCGAGAATGCCGCATCGTTCACGTTGTTTCTGTGACCGACCAGCGTCTGCTTGCACGCGCCAGTACGCGAGTCGAACAGCTTGGCGGTGAAATCGTCCGAGGCCGTCAAGATGTGGTCACCTGACGCCGAAACGGCCGCCGCCCTCACGGCATTGCGGTGCCCACGGAACGTCCGGACCTGAGGGTGAATGATAAGGGGGGATCAGCTCAGGGGGAACGCCGAGCCTGAATCGGCGATGCATCGCCGATCGTAGATCGGGGATGAGCCCTTGATAGGGAGACCGCGCGTTCCTGTGCGGGGTGGGCCATCAGGCCCTTACAGTCAGCCCGTAGAATAGCGACGCAAGAGAAGGATGCAAGGGCCTTGGAAGGTCATGTCGACACTCTGCCAGCGGGGCGCGGCCAGCGAAAGCGGCCGAGGACGGGCCGAAGGGGAAGGATGCGAGGGTATCCTTGGAAAGTTACTCATCCATGCGATACGGGTGGACTATATCGACGCGATTGGAAGTCGATGCGCCTCACGTGAGCCTAACCCCCCTAACAGTGCCCCTGGTGGCCCTGGCGCCATCACTCGGGCCCCCAGCACCCCCAGCAAGCTTCCGACGAGGCGAAGCTGATGGGACCCCGGGCATCGAAAACCTTCGAAAATCCAGAAATGCCTGTGAAAATCCAGCATGTTCCCCCCCTCTGCGCCTCCTCCGACGGCGATAAATGGATGCAATGAGCCTCTATAACTTGGGTGCGCGAGATGACCGACCATCTCTGAGGGAGAGACAGAAACGGAAACAAAACGGCACGCCGAAAACGAATAACCAACCAGTCGGAAACAGCAGCGGACACAAAAATAAAGCGAGACCGACAACGGGAACAAGTGGCACGCGTGCTCTGGCTCTTGCACATTTGAGGAGAGAAGGAGGAGGAGGAGGAGGAGGAGGAGGAGGAGGAGGAGGAGGACGAGGAGGAGGACGAGGAGGCGCAGGTGGGGAGATCGAGGAAACAAGGAGGAGGAAGAGGAGGAGGAGAAGGAGGAGGAGGGGCAGGTGGGGCCAGGGCCCCCCGGTGCTGAATCAGCGGTTGTCGATTGGGACCTGCTCGAATTAGTGTTTGTTGCCAGCTGAGGCGCGTTATATTTTTCGACGCTGGGCCAGGTGGGGAAGCTGGATCCAGGGACAGGGCCAGCGGGGCGAGGGGGGCTGGGGCCAGGACTAAGGGGGTAGGTTTGGTGTCCGTTCCATGGGAGCCTGCGTGGCCCCCGGCACTGTCTAAATTGGGCCTGACTTCGACCGGATTTGGAACAAATTTGGACCGGATTTGGACCAGACCTGGACTGGATTCGTGGGGGCTACGTAGGTGAACGAGGAGGGGGAGGGGGAACAGGATGGGAGAAGAGGAGCAGGAGGATGGGCCAAATGCGGTCCCCACGCTGTCCACATGCAGGAAAAGCAGATTTCAATGTCGCCGCCCAAGGCTCCCATGAACAGACATCAAAGATAGGCTGGGTCCAGCTCCAGGGCCAGGACCAGGACAAGGGGGACGACGTGCCGAAATGAAAAGGTCGGGGCGGACGGGGCGCGCTGGCTGGTGGGCGGGGTGGGCGGTGGCGCGCGGGATGGGGGAGGCGGTGCCGTGCCGAAATAAAGTGGTCGGAGCTCTAGACACCCTGTGCAAGAGAATAAAATGTGAATGCTCAAAACGGGGGGAAAAACGCCCTGACGGTCCCGAGAGACATCTAAGCCCGAAACCCCACTGAGCCTGCCCCCCCTTAGCGCTGCCCCTGAGTGGGACAAGCACCAGGTACCGAGGCGATACCAGCGGTGCCTGCGAGGGCCTCCCAGGAAGCCCCAAAAGAGGAAAACGAGGGAAGGGTAGCGGTGTGGGCACCTCTTCCTCCTCTGACTGAGGACCGTGGCCCCGGTGACGCCATCCAGCAGCACCGCCTCGCGCCCAGCGGTGGCCAGCACGCAGAAGGGCTCGCACCGGACGGCGAGCAGCTCGCCGCCTCCAGCCAGGCCGCTGCCCTCTATCGTCTCCTCGTCCAGGAGAAGCCTCTCTCCGAGGACCAGGTCGAAGCAGACGCGGGCACCATCCTTGCGGGCAAGATTTGTGTCCATGTGCATTGCGTCTTGGAGCTTCGGGCTCCCTGACTCCAAGACCAGACGCGAAGCGGAAGTGGATAAAGACCTGGCCTCGAGAGGCTAGATGATGACCCGTATCCATTGCGCCTCGGCCTTTTGGCGCCACTTTCCATACAGGGAAATCGGTTTCGACTTCATGTTCGTGTCGTGCGTGCGAGGCAAAGCTGCGTGGGCGAACGAAAGGAATGAACCCTCCTCTGGCTAGGGCGCCGCTGGGCCAAGAGACCGCCCCCCCCTGGATTGTCCGGCGATGGCCCGGGGTGTCCCGCGGATGTACCGCTGGTGTCCCGTCGGTGTCCCGTCGGTGTCTCGTTTGTGTCCCGTAGTGAAATCGATAGTGTGATCGATATCGAGACCGATAGTGGGCTCGATAGCGAGATCGATAGTGAGGTCGATATTGAAATCGATTGTGAGATCGATGTTGGGATCGATCGTGAGATCGATAGTGGGATCGATTGTGGGATCGATCGTGAGTGGGATAGTGCGATCGATAGTGAGACCGACTGTCAGAAAGATAAGCTATCGATAGTGAGATCAATCGAGATCGATCGATCGTGCGATCGATAGTGCGACTGACGGTGAGTTTGACAGTGAGACCGATAGTGAGATCGATCGTGAGATCGATAGTATGGTCGATAGTGAGATCGATTGAGTGAGACGCTGGTCCCCGCCCCCAAACCTCCTTGTCCCCCGAAGGGTGATCGTACAGGTATCGATGCACATCGTGCTTGCGATCCTGGCCGCCAGCCCCAAAAGGCCGCTCGGCCGCCACCGCCTGCCGCAGCAACCGCACCTCAAAAGGAAGGGCAGACAGCGGCCCGAAAGCACAAGCTCTCGGAGCTCCGTGCAGCTCTCCTGGAGCGGTGCCGGAGCCCTCTCCCTGGCGCGCGGCGCGCGCCAAGGGGGCGGCGCCCGCGGCGACGCCGGGGGGCTCCGACGCCGATGCGAGGGAGCCGCACGGACCTCACGGGAATGGATGCCTGCCCAGACATCCGACGCAGTGATGTTGCATCCTTTCGCGACGCAGGTCCTCCGAGGTCTCAAGCCCTTCCAGAGAACTGGCTTCTCATCCCGAGTGGATTGTTCTTCGTCCCAGATTCAGGCAACGGCCCCAGAAGCCGAAAACTGCCAAACACCTTCCAGGCTGATTTTTCCACGGCTCGAAGATGTCGGGGTATGGTTGTTGTTCCGCTTTGGATATTGTCGAATCGTCGGGTCGGATCGGATCGCCAACGGAACGTCCCGAATCGAATCGAAATCGGATCGCCGCGCATAGCTCCCGCCGGCCCTGGCCGATGCCAGTGAATCGAACCGAGTCGATAAGCACCATAATCGCGACCCCAACCACCGACGACAACTTGGATAAGATCGGGCGCTACATCGAGTCGTATCGCCGATGCATCGGCGATGCGGCGCGATCCACCGACCTCATCGAAATCGAGCACGTTAATACATGGGCGGCCTGGATTTCTCTCCATGCCGCCACTTCTAATAAATGGGCTACCGAAACATCCGACGACCAACATTGTTCAATCCGCGTCCCCAGACCTCCCGACACGACTCCCGGGGACAAGTTCACGTCCCCGATCAATTCTTGACGGCGGCGAAGCCCGAGAACGGGCCCCGCAGGCCAAGATGGAGCCAAATCGCTGGGATAGGGGTCAAACTGCAGTCGGAGATCTTGGTGTCTGCTCCATCTCTTTGCATTCCCTTCGCGCCTGGTCCGCGGGCCCCACCTCGACGACGGCCACCTTGCGTGAAAGACTCACATCAATACTGAAGGGGCCCCAGGACACACAAATAAATACACACAAATAAAAAGATTTCCCATATTTCCATATATTTTGGAGGGTCTTTGTCTTCCCCCCCACTTCACATATTTTTGCATATTTTCCTGGGAGTCGACGATTCATTGTGTCTGTGTGTTTCTTTCCCTCCTGAAATACCCACTGCGCCTTGGATTCTGGGGCTCCCTTCCCCCAGGAGCCCGAGACACCGTGGACACCTCCGGCGAGGCCAGACCTCGATACATCTCCGCTGCGCCTCGGGTTCCGGCGTTCCTTCCCGCAGGATCCGAAACTCGGTGGACAGGGACCCCAGCATCCGCCGGTGTGACTTTTTCAGCTCGCGCCCCCCAGGTGCCCCGAACGCTGCCCCGAAGGGAGTTTTTTTAATTTCGGGAGCGGCCAAGAGAGGGGTGTCCATAGGGGGAGGTGCAAATCATGACTGGCAGCATGTGGGCGGCCCAGCGGGGGGGCCAGGGACGTCGTGAAACAAGAAGAGGCGCCATGAAATCTGGGGAAATATCATGGCCCCCGCCATGATATCCCCCCCCCCCTAGTCATCACCCCCCTCTTTGCCGCCCCCGATTAACTGGCCCCGGCTCCAGTGTGACTACCCCGGGGCCAGAGCACGGGCCTCGAGGGCGGAAGCCAGGAAGCGCCACCGCTTGAAGACATCACATCGCCTGAGATGTATACGGAAGCCATCGCCCCGCAGCTGAGGATACGAGCGAAGAGGCGCGGCGCGGTCTCGTCGGCACTCTGCTTATGTTGTTCCCGTCCTACTTAAGGACCACATCCCAGAAATAATTTCGAGCACCCAGCAAAGTGTCAAAAGAGTGTCGAAGCAGTGTCGAAACAGTGTCGGGCGAGTGTCTCCTAGGGCCCAGCACGCGAAAACCCTTGAGTTTCGGTACTTTTCTGGGCGTTCGAAATTCCTCCTGGTGGTCAAGGCTAAAGTCGGTTGGAGCATCATACATAACACTCTGCGAGGCTCTGAGGAAGCACACCGCAGGCGCGGTCTGTCAAACATGACACGACGAGCCCGTCGCGGGTGCCGAACTCTGGTCGACCAAAAATGTGGGTGGGTCGCGGGTGGGTCGCGGGGTGAGTCGCGGGGTGGGTCGCGGCGTATGTCGCAGGTGGGTCACATGCGGGTCGCGGGCGGGTCGCGAGCAAGGACGACAACAACAATCATTTTAAGACTGTGCGCTCCTATCTGCTCACGTGCCAATCAATACGTATATCCAAAACCATCGATGCACGCCCTCGTCGTCTTCGATCGTACCCCCTTGGGGGTATATCTTCCTTACCTGCCACGTGCATGCAGCCCCTAAAACAAGGGAAGAGAGGACGGGTGGAAAGGGGAAAGAAAATAATGGAGCACGAGAGACATTAGCAGGAGGGGGGCAAAGATCAGAAAACAAGTGGTAGAACCAGACGGGCAGATCGGGTGGGCAGACCCATAGCGGGCAGGTCGGGAAGGCGGGCCCAGGCGACGAAGTCCAGCAGGCGGGTTGCTGAAGCGTGGGTCCTGCATGAATCGCGATGAACTCTCGAGCGACAGCGCGATTCCCAAGTAAACCGTGAGAGAAGCCAAAGTGAGAGCGTGATTCCTGAGCGCCGAGGGCGCATCGTCTGAGTAATTGCGAGGAAGTCCCACGCGAGAACGCGATGCGTACATACATTGCGAGGAAGTCCCGCGCGAGAGCGCGATTCGGAAATAACTTGCGAGGAAGCGTCAGGCGGGAACCGTTGTTGTTGTAAACTGGGGGCCAGGGACCCAGTTTGAGCCCCGTGACCTTCCCTAATAAAAATACAAAGCGCGAGCCCCATGGGGAAGCACATCAACTGGAAAAGCCCACAATGGTCACCGGAGTCGGGATCAACATTCATAATTCTTCAAAGCTGAGAATTCAACATCAACAACAGCCACAACAACATCAGTAGTAGCAGCAACGACAACAACAACAATCATATTAAGGCTGTTCGTTTTTATCTGCTCGCGTGCCATTCAACACGTAGATTCGCCTTTTCGTCCTCGATCGTACCCAACTTCGGGGTTGATCTTGCTTATCTGCAACGCGTATTTCGTGCAGCCCCTAAAGCACTGGAAGAGGGGGCGGATGGAAACAAAGAACAAGGGGGAGGGAGGAGGATGGACGAGGGAGACTAGCAAAAGGGGGGCTAAGAACAGAAAACAAGTGGAAGAACCAGACGGGCAAATCGGGTGGGTAGGACTTAACGGGCGGGTCGTGCAGGTTGAGAACCGGTGTTGTTTCAAACTGGGGGCCAAGGGCCCAATTTGGTGACACGTCAATTTCCTTTGTAAAAAACGGGGTACGAGAGTGGGGAAAAGCACTTGAACTGAAACGTACAATGGCTACAGGCTGGGAGGGATCAACAATGCATACGTTCAGGAATGATAATTCAACATCAACAACAACAACTACAATAACAATAATAACAAGAACACTCATGTTAAGGCTGTTCGCTGCTACCTGCTCGCGTACCAATCAAAACGTAGATCCCACATCCTCGATACCCACCCTCTTCGTCTTCGACCGTACCCCCTTGGGGGTATATCTTCCTTAGAGAGAACGCGTTTCACGGGCGCTTGCCTTAGGAACATTCGGCGGTGCGTTTCGAATCGGGGTGCGGGCCCCCCCCAACACTCGGCGCCGTCGATCACAACCAGCGGGGCTCCCCTCCCCCCCAGCCCCCCTCCCGAACCCCCCTCCCCCGCCCCCTCCCAAGGGGAAGGGGGGGTTCAAACCCCCCGCCCTTCCCCCACCTCCCCCTTCGGCGCCAGCGCCGGCGCTGGCGGCCGCCAGCAGCGCCGACGGCGCGGGAACGCAGCGACGATGGCCAGAGGCAGCCCAGGGGGGGGAAGTCAAAACCCTTCCCCCCCCCCCACCGGTGCTGGCGCCTGCGCCGGCGCTGGCGGCGGCCAGCAGCGCCGGCGCTGGCGCCGGCGACGGCGGGGACGCAGCGACGATCACCACCACCACCACCACCACTACCACCACCACCACCGCCTCAACCCACCACCGCCACCAACAACCCACCACACAACCACCACCACCACCACCACAGCCACCACCGCAACCACCACCACCACAACTCACAATCACCACGCCACCAACACCCCAAAAACCACCACCACTACCACCACCACCACCACAATCTACCACACCGCCAGCACCAACGCCACAACCACCACCACTACCAACAGCACGACCCACCACCACCACAAACCGCCACACCACCACCACCGCCACAACCACCGCCACCAGCACCAGTTCCACAAACCAACGCCACCACCACAACCCACAACCACCACCACCACCACCACCACCACCACCACCACCAAAAACCACCACCACCCACCACCACAAACCACCACACCACCACCAAACCACCGCCACCACCACCATCACCTCCACCAGCACCACCTCCACAAACCACCGTCTTCACCACCACCACCACCACCATCACCACCACCACCACAAACCACCACCACACCACCACCAAACCACCACCACCACAACCCACCACCACCACCACCACCACCACCACCACCACAAACCACCACACCATCACCGAACCACCACCACCACCATCACCACCACCACCACAACCACCACCACCACCACAACAAACCACCACACCACCACCACCACAACAAACCACCACACCACCACCACCACAACAATCACCACCACCACAACTACCACCACCACAACAAACCACCACCACCACCACCACCGTCGTCCTCGTCGACGCTCCCCGCCGCCGCCCGCCCGCCGCCGCAGCCGCCGGCGGCAGCCCTGAAAAAAAACTCGTCGTCCCCGCCGCCGCCGCCGCCATCCGCCGCCGACGCAGGCGCCGGCCCGAGGAGAGGGACAGAGGAAAAGTAGGGGAGGAAGGGGGGGGGTCGGGTCGAACACCCCCCCCTCCATCCAGCGGGGGGGGGCTGGTTCCCCCCCCTTCCAAGCGACCGCAGTACGCGCTCTTTCCTTTGTTTACGTGCCGCGTAGATTTAGCGCAGCCCCTAAAACAAAGGACACGAGGACGGATGTGGGAGGGGGAAGGATGAAACACGAGAGAGATTAGCAAGACGCGGGAGCCAGAAACAGAAAACGTGTGGCATAATCAGACGGGCTGATCGGAAGGGTATACCCTGCAATAACGGGATGGCCGGGAAGGCGGGCCAAAGCGGCCAGGTCGAGCAGGCGGGTTGCTGAAGCGTGAGTTGTGCAGGAATCGCGAGGAAGTCTCGAGCGAAACTGCGATTCCCAAAGACCTAGTGAGAGAAACCAAAGCGAAAGAGCGATTCCTGAGCGTCTAGGGTGCGGCGTTTGAAGGAATGGCGAAGAAGTGCCAAGCGAGAGTGCGATTCCTGCATTAATTATGACGAAGTCCCTCGCGAGAGCGCGATTTGGGAATACATTGTGAGGAAATCTCAAGCGGGAGCGGTTGAACTCTCCCTTCTGAAGAATCATATCACCGGTGCGTGCTGTTTTTTTTCTCAATCAAAGTGTGCCCCTCGACGCTCGCACCCTGTTCTTTGACAGGGCAAATCTTCGTGCTCAAACTGGGTCCCTGGCCCCCTGTATTACAACAGCAATGGCTCCCGCTTGAGACTTCCTCCAAATTTATTCAGGACCCCCGCTCCTGAGACTTCCTCACAAGTTACTCAGGATCGGTGCTCCCGCCTCTGACTTCCTCGCAATTTAGTCAGGACACCAGCTCCCATCTGAGACTTCCTCATACTTTACTCAGGAACGGCGCTCCCGCTTGAGACTTCCTCGCAATTGAATAAAACAATTCCGCAATTGAATCAAGACCCGCGCTCCCGCCAGAGAACCCCTCACATTTGATTCAGGAATTGCGCTCTCGCCTGTGGCTTCCATGCAATGTATTCAGGAATCGCTCTTTCGAGGTTCAGGAAAAATGCTGCACCAAGG